CATGACCACCTGCAGATGTCTCCTCCTGTGGGGGACAACACTGGAAGGGCTCCTCTCCCCAGCAAGGGTGTTGGGGGGCAAACATGGCCCCCTCCAGCATCCCCCAGTCCCCGAGTCCTCCCTGCGGCCGGCCCCAGGCCAGAGGAGAAAGCAGAACAGGCACCTGAAAAAGCGGGGTTTGAAGTTACTGCTCATTTAATGTGCACACAGACATTTTGGAAGGCGGAAACCATTCTCGCCCTCGCCCTGCCCGATCCTTCGCTGCAGGAAAAACCTCCTCAGCTCTGCCCCCTTGAGATGTTTCGGCGCTTCAGACGCGAAGCCAGCTGCACCCGCGCTGGTGTCACCAGTTTCAGGGTACAGAAATCTCCTGCAGGCACCAGTCCTGCAATGGGGGCGACGAGACGAGGAGAGGTGTCAACCGAAGAGCGTCCTTACACCTGAGGGAGGAGAAGGAGGAGTCCCAGGACCATCAGCAGGCTGGGGGGATCGTGTGATGCAGCAGCAGTAGATTCAACTGGAGGCAGAGGAAGACCCGGGGTGTGAGGAAGGCTCACCGGGGACTCCAGTGGGAAGGGAGTCAGCTGCTTGCACCTCGGGTATGGTGCCACGATGGAAAAAGCTGAGAAAAAGAACAGGGACAGGGCAGGTTTACCCACGGGTACATCCTCAAGGTCCCCAAAGCCATCCCCAAAGCCATCTCCCACCCCCAAGCCAGCACCATCACCCCGGGGAACCCGTCACCCTACCTTTCATGATGAAGAGGAAGAGGAGCGCTGCCGTAAGCCCCATCGCCATCTTCTCTGCGAGTCTCCGCCCTACCCCTGGGGTGGAAATCCTCTGCACCAGGCAGCTGCTCACCAAGGACCCCCCGCAGCCTGCAGCCCCCATCACCGTCCCTAAAGTCAGGGCTGGAGGGGCAGGGCAAGAGAGGGGCTGGGATAGCACAGTTGTTATAGCATAGGAAAAAACCCCACACTTCCGTTTTTCTGTTTCCTCGGTGCACCTCCTCGCTCACAGTCTAGCCTGGCACAGGAGGCATCTGCCCCACAACTTCCTGGGAATGCCGTGCCCAACATCCTGCTGGTAAATTAATTCTGACCCCAGGGGTCACATCCTACAGGGTTCCTGTTTCTTCACCTACAAACCCAGCTCTGTGTTCTCCCCATGGTCTGAACCCCGAAACGTGCTACCGAGGAGCCCCAGCTTGAGAGGGAACCACCAGCACCTGTGTTGGGGCATCCCCATGACACCAGGTTGCAGGTGACCAGACCCGGCGGGAAGGAGATCACAGAATCACAGAATCGTCTAAGTTGGAAAAGCCCCTGAAGCTCCTCCAGCCCAACCATGACCCTCCCCCTGACCCTTCCCGACTCCCCCAGATCCCTCAGCGCTGGCTCAGCCTGATTCTTCAACCCCCCCAGGGATCCCGGGGACTCCCCCCTGCCCTGGGCAGCCCATTCCAACGCCCAACAGCCCCTTCTGCATAGAAATCCTTCCTCAGAGCCAGCCTGACCCTGCCCTGGGCAGCTTGAGGCCATTCCCTCGGGGCCTGGCGCTGGGGCCTTGGCTCCAGAGACTCATCTCCCCTCTCTGCCCCCTCCTGGCAGGGAGTTGCCGAGGGCCAGGAGGTCTCCCCTCAGCCTCCTCTTCTCCAGACTGAACCCCCCCAGCTCCCTCAGCCGTTCCCTGTACATGTTCTCCAGGAAAGGATGATGGGAGGGAGACGTGTTAAAGCTGTAGCTCCGTTGTGCCAGCCTCCAACCAGGACAGATGCTTAAAATGAAGGATTTTATTTACAGCCTGGATTCCTTCCTGAAAGACGATATTTCAGCTCCTTTACTGGCCAGCAGCCGAGGGATGCGCGGGGCAGCGAAGCCAACACAGCCCCCACGTCGGGGGCAAACAGCCACCGGCATCTTCCCACGCACCACCCCGGCCCCGAGCGAGGAGCACTGGGGCTGACCCCGGCTGCGAACAAAGGGCGACGGCAGCACCCGCTGAGCCCTGACCCAGTTTGATTTCAGCGCTGAGCAGCCCCCGTCCATCATGGGGGGAGATCCGATGTCAGCGCCGAGCGACGTTAGCACCTGATGATGCTGTGGCCGGATCACTGGCACCCATCCAGTCACACCGTGGTGCTGAGCACCCGCCGGCTGATCCCCGTGCCCAAATACTCCGCGCTGATAGAAACCGGCGGAGATGGGAAAGGAAATTTCCTTGACAGGGAGCGAAGTGCTGCCTCAGCGCTTGCAGCGAGCGCTGCAAATTATCTCCAATATGCAAAAGCAGGTCATTAGCATAAATTACAGCACCGTGATGGAGCGTGGCTTCAGCAGGAGCCCGACGTGCTGATGGATGCAGCAGCCCCCGGGCTCTGTGCTGTCGCCTTCAGATGTTTCCGCTCATCAGAAGCGCGGGGACCCGACGTTCCGAGCTGCAAAGGGGCTGAGATGCGGCTCCTGCTTTAGCCCCCGCTCCCAGGCAGCAGCAAGGACTGTCACCGTGTCCCCAGTGACTGTGCCGAAGGATTTCCATCCTTCCTGAACTTTTCTGCCTGAATTCAGCCAGGGACAGGTCCCGCTGCCACCTCTCCCCCAGTGCCGATGGCCGCGTGCGGAGGGGGATGCCACAGTGCAAGGTGTATTTGGCTCGTGAAAAGCAGAGGAGGGGGCTCGGGAGGGTGTAAACCAGCCCGGCAGCACCACCACGCTGTGCCTGAGCCCCCATCCACACCAGCCCAGCCCCCTAAATTCCCCCGTTGTGGCAGCCAGACACCCCCTCCCTCCCCGTGCCGGCCTCCCAGCACAGCTCCCAGTTAATGATCCCAATTAATGCTCGTTTCACAGGGAGCAGCCACAAAGCTATTTTGATCCGGGGACTCGGGCGGGAGGGGAGCGTTGCGGAGCCGCCGTCGCTCCCCATGCTGCCATCAAAGTGTCACGTTTCATTTTAATCCCGAAGAAAAGCCCTTGATCTTGCCTTTGGGAAGATCTTTGAAGCCAGAGCCCCTCTTCTTTCTCCACCTCCTTCTCCGAGGACCGCTCGTGCTGTAGGAGCACAGGATAACTCTGGTGGGAAGGGACGTGGTGATGTGTTGGGTCTCGGCTCACCGTGGGGCACCCGGGGCCATGCCCAGCCCAGCCGGGGCAGGCAGGGACCATCCTGCCCAGGAAAGATGCCCAGGGCCATCTCTCCCGACACGCATGGCAAACTCCACAAAGTGCGTCGCCTCACGAGATTCAGATCACTTCGGAACCACAAACAAGGCAGTTCCCACTCCCTCCCCATGCCCAAAGTAAATTTTGGGCTATAAATAGCCAATTCAGCCAATTAAACAAGCACCACAATTGCCTCCTGCAGTTCAGCTTATATATGCACTTAAAAATAAATTCCAGAGGCGTACTGAACCTGTCAAGACCTCAAAAACCCCACAAGATCACACGTTGGCACTAAACACACGTGTCCTCTCCTCACCACTCCCCCTCTTGTCCAATTTCTCATCCGTCTCCTCCAAAGACAGGTTTCCATCACCAAGTCTTTCCTCCTTCCCTCGCAGGAAAGCCTCCGAGGCGCAGCTGGGATCTGTGTCCTTGCAAAAACCCGCGTCTGACCGGTTCCATCCCAAGCGAGCCCCCGGCTTTGCCGGGTGGGTTTCCAGCAGGTGCTGGAGGTCTTTGGGTGCTCCAGGAGAAGAGGCCCGAAGGGAAGGGAAGGTCTTGCTGAGGCAGCCCAGGCACTAGGAGAGATGTGGGCTGGCAGGAGCTGCGGGCGAGGTCTGCACCGGGGAGCACCAGCGTCTAGAACCCCCCATAGCCTGCAAGGAAATGGGTAAGGTTTAGCACACAGAGGCCGCAAAAAGCTGAGGAACTTTTGGAGGTAACCAGAGCTCATCTTACCGGTGCGATGCTCGTTACCTCCACGTAGGCAGTGGAAACCAAAGCTGGGTCCAGCCTCTTCTTCTTGAGGGAAGGAGCCTGTGGAGCAGAGGGAGAACCTGCCATTAGGCAACACACGGTTGATGAACTGAGGGGACCCGGGTTTCTGTGCCCCTGCAGAGGGGCCGGGGGCATGGCGGGGCAACCTCACCCTCCTGGTGGGCTGAACCGTGGAGTAGATGGTGAGGCTTTCGGGCTCCTGAGGGTGGCTGGGTCCCTGCCAGGGAAAAACAGTTGAGATGAGTAAAGAAAAACAAATTTGGGGCAAAAAGGGGTGGTCTTGGCAGCTGCCACAGATGCACCCAGCCCAGGGGCTGCACAGCCAAGGCCTCGGGGCAGCTCCAGTCCCCTCCACGGGCACACAACTGACCCTACCTGCATCTTGTTGGAGACAACAGCGTAGATGGTGTTTCCACCCGCGGTGGCCTCACTGGTCCCATTCTGGGGGAGAAAGCAACCCCAGGCTGGTTAAAGGACCCAACCCGGGGTGACAGACATTTCCAAACAGAGGTCCCAGCCCTCCAGGCAGCATGGGGATGGGGTCACCAAGGGTCACCCCCCAGCACTCACGGGGTCTTGTCTGGGTCGGGCTTTGCCCACCTCCTCGTAGACAGTCATCATCTCCTCAACGTGTCCTGGGGGAGTTTGAAGGGTCAGTGTAAGATGGTGGTTGACTTGTTAGAGCCCCCAGACTGGGGGGGTTCAGCCCTCAAGTAAAGCAAAGCAGAGGGAGAAAGAGGTCCCTTGGCAACGGGGAGGTTTTACTTTGTTGGCACCTGGCAGGGGCTGGGGAGGGATGTTCCTGCTCAGAATAAAATGAATATCCAAACCCAACCAGCCCCCCAGAGCCCATGGGATGAGGCCACCAGGTCAGCTTGGGCTGCTGGGATGCTTCATCCAGCTCATCAACCTGCAGCACCCTGCATCGGCAGGGATGGGTGAAGGCTCCGGGGGTGGGCGAGGGTGACAGTGCCCAGTGGTTTCTCCCGCATCACCCCCAGGAGGAGGGAGAACCCCGGGGCCAGCACAGAGAGCGTCAGGAGTGTGACAGCAGGCGGGAGGAGGGCAGGGGCTGCACAGCCAAAGCCCCGCGGCTGCCTGTCCCAGGAGCCACAACACCAGCCCCAGGGACAAACCTCCCGGAGAGGCTTTTCCTCGCTTCCTCTTTAAGTAGCAGATGACAGCGAGGGCTACGGAGAGCGCCAGCCCCAGGAACACAGCCACCGCCAACCACGGAATGATGTTGGAAAGCCCTGGGATGGAAGGAGAGGAGAAGGGGAGAGTTTTGATGCAGGGCAGAGCCCCAAGCCATTTCTAAAGACAATCTCCATGCCAGCCCGCAGAGGACAGCACGGGGGGAAGAGCTGGCCAGAAAGCCTCGGCCCTGGTTTCTTCACCCACGCTCAGCTATCGCATTTCCTTTCGCAGGAGGGGAAGCATGACGTCCCCTGCAATGTCACAGGCCCGGGAAGGGAGACAAAGGTCCCAAAGAGAGGACTGGAAGTGCTGCAGCTTGTGCATCACCTAAATCCCACGTTTTACAGAGTTGAGGACAAATTACCTGAGGCCTCGGTGTGACAGGCTGCCGTGACATCGGTGCTGGCCACGCTCCAGCTCACCGGGTTACTCGCGTTGCAGGAGCAGACGGTGAGGTTGTCGCCATCACGGACCTGCAGATGCACCCAGGGACGGGGCTCTGGGTCTCCCAGGGGGTCCCCGCTGCAGGTCCAGCTGTAGGAGACGTTGCTGGCGCCGGGCACGGCACAGACCAGCGAGAGGTTGCACCAGCCCTGCTCCCGGTGCAGGAGGTTTTGCTCCAGGTGCGGCGAGCGGACGGGCTCTGCGGGGACAGAGCTGGTGAGAAGGGACGGGGAGGGACAGGGGGACGGGGTGATGGGGACCAGGATACTCACCCCACACCGACACGTGGAAGCACCACTGGGCAGTAACAGTACCTGATGTGTCCTCAAATTCCACCTCATAGACCCTGCTGTCTGCCGTGCCAACCGCGCTGATCCACAGGGAGAGGGTGTCCAGCTGGAAACCAGCTCTCCCAGAAAAAGTACTCTTGGAAAATTGGACAGCCTGATTCTTCTCAGCCGTCAGGATCCGGATCTTGTGTCCCGAGTTCAGTCTCACTCGCCAGTCGACCTTTTCCCACCCCTGCGGGGGTTTCTCTGGCAGAAGCCGCAGCGTTTCACCGGCAGACACGGCTTGTTCCCGGCACTGCGGGGATCCTAAAGCAGAGAGGGGTGAGCGAAGGCCCGTGGCCCCGGGAGATGCTCCATGGCCGGGCAGGGGGCACAGCTGCTGGAGCCCCCCCGTGCCCCAGGCCCGCAGCCCCCAGCACAGCCCCTCCTGCTCCCCGGGGTGAAGCTCTGCCTGGCTCCCCATCACCACCCCCATTTGGGGGGACCCTTCTCTCTGCACCGTCCCAGGCTGGGTGGGTCTGGCCTCACATTGCAGGTGCTCAGGCAATATCCTCTGCCCTGCCCAGA